AAAAAAAAAAAAAGACTATAAAGGTAATCTGGAGTGGAACAGTGCAGGGTGGATGGAGCAAGAGCCAAGAGAACCTCAGTAAGCATTGACGTCCCTGTGACAGACCCAAAGGAAAAGCTGGGACCAAGCCAGAGCACCACTCTTGGCTAGTGTGGTCACTGACCACCCCCACTTCCATCACTCCATCATCAGGGAAATGAAAACAAATTGGAAAAAATATTTTTCCCTTTGAATATTTCATATAAATGGAGTCATACAGTATGCAGCTCTTTTGTGACTGGCTTCTTCTGCTTAGATACAGACACTTATTATATGATTCCATTTATATGAAATGTCTAGAAAAGGCAAATATATAGTAAGAGAAAGTAGGTTGCCTGGGTCTAAGGATGCTCTTAAGGAATGACTACAAATGGTCATTGGGGGCGGATCTTTCTGGAGTGATGGAAATGTTTTAAAATTGGAGGGTGGTGATGGTTGCACACATTTGTACATTTACTAAAACTATGACCTACACAGATGAGTGAATTATTTAATAGGCGAATCACGTTATCAGTAAAGCAGTTTTAAAAATTGTTTCTCCTTTCCCTTACCTAAAGTCTGGGCTATCTGTGCCGGTGGAAAAAGGACTTGGAGACAGCGATTTAAGTAAGGAACAAGGTCTTCCAGAAAGACAGTGCAGAACTGGACAAAGAGCTCTTGCTCCCCATTGCTGAAGGCAGCCTCTTCAGCTCGATGGAAGGCCAAGATTACTTTGGTTACCTAAGAGAAAAGGAACCATAGTCAATCACTGGGGAGTCTATCACTGTCAGTAGTGCATGAAACTAAGCAAAACCGTGCAGCTTGCAAGTTTTCATGAAGAAAGTAACTTCAAGCAATACATCATATTGCTATCTTATTTACACTCAGATTGTGGTCAATCTCCACTTGATTGATAGATTTCTGACCCAACTTTTTTTTTTTTTTTTTTTGAGAAAGTCTCACTATGTTGCTCTTGGTAGAGGGCCGTGGTGTCACAGCTCACAGCAACCTCCAGCTCTTGGGCTTAAGTCATTCTCTTGCCTCAGCCTCCCAAGTAGCTGGGACTATAGGCGCCTGCCACAACGCCCAGTTATTTTTTGGTTGCAGTCATCATTGTTGTTTAACAGGCCTGGGAGGGGCTCCAACCCACCAGCTTCGGTGTATGTGGCCACGCCCTACTCACTGAGCTATAGGCGCTGAGCCCTGACCCAACCTCTTTCATTAACTGGGGTATAGTTTCTAGTTCCAGTGGAGGAAGATCATGAAATTCTACAAAAATACACAGTTTTTGACTCCTATGGTGGATCAACTAGAACTGTGTTGGGTCCAGGAAAATGCAGCAAAAATTATACAAGTTTCTACTAAATGAGGCCTCGGAGGCTCCAGAAAGCTAGAATCACTAGAAAATTATAAAAGAAGACAGCTAGAAAATAGAGGTTCCACAAAAAAACAGCAGAGCAACCTAGCTGATATTACAAACCGGTGGCACAATGACAGGGTTAAGAATAAAGACTGAGCGTTAAGACATTTCCTGGGTTCAGATACCAGCCCTGCACTTGGTTCTGTGACTTCCAACTGAGTAAATACTCTGTGCCACCTGTGCCTCAGTTTCCTAATCTATAAAATAAGACCAGAAAAAGGACCTAACTCATAGGGCTGCGAGGCTTAAATCTTAACATGTGTAAAGTATGATGAATGCTACCCACCATAGAGTAAGCACTATATAAATGTTTGCTGATACTGTTATTTGAATTTCACTGACTCTAAAAAAGGTCAATATCATTCTTTCTTAGATAGCACACCAACAAAGATTTTATTCAAGTTACAGCTGCCACCTGGCTGACAGCAATTATAATGTGCCATTTATTTTTTATTTTTATTCTTTTTTTGAAACAGAGCCTCAAGCTGTCTCCCTGGGTAGAGTGCTGTGGCATCAGAGCTCACAGCAACCTTCAACTCCTGGACTCAAGCGAGTCTCCTGCTTTAGCCTTCCACGTAGCTGGGACCACAGGTGCCAGCCACAACGCCCGGCTATTTTTTGGTTGCAGCCGTCGTTGTTTGGCGGGCCTGGGCTGGATTTGAACCCGCCACCTTAGATGTATGTGGCTGGCGCCTTAGCCGCTTGAGCCACAGGCGCGGAGCCGTGCCATTTATTGTTAAGGAGCATCGTCACAATACCTATGATGGAGAAAGCAAAGATTTAACTGTGTAAAAACTGTGCACCACACTAGGATATCATTATTGTTGTTATTACTTGTCAGGCAGAATTCTAAAATGGCAGCCTATGGCTCAAGCGGCTAAGGTGCCAGCCACATACACCTGAGCTGGCAACTTTGAATCCAGCCCGGCTGCCAAACA